TAAAAGAAATTGAACATGTCCTAATAATAGGCATCTACTTTATTCTTCTCATATTCATGTATGCTTTCTGACTAACGTACAATCAATATATTAACCCTAAACCTGTTTAATCTATGTTAGTTGAATATTAATGCACAACAAAACTATTATTGGCGATCAATTGAATTATAATCATATCAGCCTAAACAAGATTATTAATTATCTTATTAAACGTGATTAGAAGTACAAATTCCCTTTAATCCTGCAAGAGAGGGCGTGATCAAGCAATAACAATAATAATATACCAAGCAACATAAGAATAATCATAACCGTCATAATATCCTCAATCTCATGAAAGCATAATAATATTATTAGCAAGATCCTAGGCATGGTACTAACATGGTAGAAGAAAGAATAGGAAGCAACATAAACATGATACTAAAAAGCAATAAATAACATCCTAACATGATACTAGGAATTAATATAATCAAAGCATGATTTCTATATCAAAAGAGCAATAATCAAATTACTTACTTCGATGCCTCGTATCTCTTTCTATCAAAACAATAAACACGTTAATAAATTCAAGGAATATATTTGATCAAACAATTAAATTAAATAATTGAAATAGAGATTTGGAACCAAACCCTCATAAATTATCAACCTTTCACGTCTAGGGCGATGGCAACTTTGAACTTGGCTAGGTGTGTCTAGAACTTGTGAATGCGGAATTTTGTATAAAATAAAAAAAAATAAAAAAAAAGGAAGGTTTAGAGAGTGGGAGATGAATTAGCTATTGCTTGAGAATTAATGATGATTGTTGATTATTGTGAATGGGGAAATACTACCCTATTTATAATGATGTCAGTGGGGCGGATCAAGTAAGAGACCCGCCCCAATGGGGCGGGGATGAGTCTCGGTTTGGCGGGTGGTGGGGCGGGGATGGGGATAAAAACCATACCCGCCATGGGTGATGGGGCGGGGTGGATTTTTAGTTGTACACGCCCCATCCCCGCCCCGCCCCACTTCGTACCTGCCCCATCCCTACCTCATACGGGATGGGGATGGGGATGAAAATATTAGGTGGGGATGGGGATGGGAAGGCCAACATCCGCCCCGCCCCGCCCCATTGACATCCCTACCTATTTATAGAGAAAATAGTCCGGAAACGATAGAAAATAATTAGAATTTGAATCGAAATAAAACCGGTTTATGTCGCCAGCGACAGGACCCGGCGCGAAATGACAAGCATCACGATGGCGACAGACTTGTCATTGGCGCTAATTAAAAGATAAAACGCGCGTTGTGCGAAATCCATTTCCTAATATAATTAAGCAATTAAACTCCGTGTTTATCAGTTTTTATCATAATAAAACACTTGTTTTATTCAAACCAAATTCATTATTTTTCTAAAAAGATAATTATTAATTTTACCTCTTTTAGAACTCAAAATAACCTTCTAGACTATTTTTAAAAAAATTAGAATCAATCCTAATAATTTTAGGAATAATAATTAATGGGCCCTCCACTAGATCATTGGGCCACAAAACCATTTCGGACCCAATTTAGTATTTTAGCCATAATTTCCTCATTATTCATCGGATTTGGGCTTATAATATATCATTGGAAAGCTCTTTGCTTGGTCAACCCAACTAAAATATTATTAGACCCTTATCATGGACCAAGCTAAATTGGACTAGATATTTTCATAATTAGAGTAAATTTCGAAAACAAAAAGAAGATTTTTATTAAAATGACCGCATCACCAGAACTTTCACACTTTCACCTCGTTCGATAATCAAGTGACGTGAAAAGTAATCATCACTGGGTTTGATTTTTGGGTAGACACATTTAAGTGTTTAAAGAGTCTGAATAATCATTATAAGGCACAAAAGTCAAATTTAGTCGGTTTCGAACTACACTTATAGAAAGAGGAAATTGAGTGAAGGTTTATGGATTTTGGTTAAGAAAAGGGCTTGGGCTATATGGCTAGAATGGCTTAGAATATGATAATGGGATAGGACAAAATGACTACTAAAGTAATTCTTATATTCATGCAACCGGGCCAAATTAGACAATGAAGGTTGTTTCTTAATTGGGCTTTATGTGGGGAGACGTTTTTAGGTGTCTACACTTACACACCTCTGTAACATAACTAAGCAGCAACCAATACAATAGTGAAACCTATAGTTACTTGCTTAATCTAAAATCTCCATAGCTAAGCTTCATCTTCAACATCACATACTTGGTCTTTATTTTCCTTGACTCCTAATTTAATGTTGCCAATTATTTCTTCACAACCTCATTCTCTTCTATCATTCAGTTCCTTTTCCAATAGCCTCAATATGATGTCCATTTGCCAATATATTATACACTAATACTACATCTGTTAATTATTATGTGCAATTTTGGAATAATTATCTCACAAATAATACCCTAAAGTTGCACATAAACGGAAGTAGTATCTTTATCACGTCAAAAATAAAATAAAATAAATTGCAGTCCTCCTGTTTGTTTCAACACCAAAAATTGGGCAGGCAACAAAACTTATTGAAGTAGGTAGACCCACGACCACACCTACACATCCTTCTAACTGATTGACCAAGGGCCTGTTCATATTTACTGAACTGAGCGGAACTGAACTGAACTGACTGAACTGAACTGATTGGAGCTGAACTAAACTGAACTGAACTGATTGGAGCTGAACTGAACTGAACTGAACTAAGCTGAAATGAATATTTTATGGGAGAAGGAAATTAAGAGCTGAACTGAACTGAACTGATTGGAACTGAACTGAACTGATTGGAGCTGAACTGAACTGAAAATAAGTAAATATGAACAGGCCCCAAGTTGCATAGTCATCCGCCATAATAATAACCACAAGCACATGCCAAGTAAACTGCAAATACTGTTCTTAGGACCTGTTTTGATTTACTGAAAACAAATTAATTGAACTAAGCTGAACTGATTGGGCTAACTGAAGTGAATAGAGTTTAAATGAATTGTTTATAAGATAAGGAAATTAGGAATTGAATTGATTGGAGCTGCACTGAACTGAATTGATTGGAACTGAACTAAACTGAAATTAAGTTGAACACAACAGGCTCTAAATTGTTCAATTTATTAAAAGCCTAAAATTTAAATAAACACTTAAAAATCGGTAAACAAATGAAACAAATTAACGGCCAAAATTTTTGCAATTACATGTTTCCTTACACTAATTAAACCTTGGAGATGTCTTTCTTGCTAAAAAAAAAAGAAGTGTAAACTAACAAAGAAATGGAAGGTTTGATGTTGAGATGAAGAATAGTATTGGGGTTATTAATGGAGAATTAGCCGTTACAATAGTTGATTTGGGAAATTAGAGGTGAATCACTCAACATGAAGGGGTTTTTTTTTTTTTTCTTTTCATTTACATGTTGGAAAAAAATTTTGTTGCCTAGAACCACCCAATTTTATAAATTTGTTGTCAAAACCCACAAGAGTCTATTTTCCAGCATTGACCCAGAACTCCGGCGTTGACCCTACCCACGTGCCTTGCACATGACTTTTGTTCCCTCCGTTATCTCTCTCCTCTCTTTGTTCTCCTTTTCCTCCTTCACAAGCCATAAAAGAGCAATTAAAAATCAAATTCAATAGAAAAAATTGAACACAACCTAAATATCGAATTTGCATTCATAAAATGGGTTCATAACACATCAAAATCAACGAAAATACCCATAAACAAAATCATCATAGCATAGCAATAATGGTGACAAAAATCAATCCAAAACAGATTTGAAAAACAAAAACTCAAATCCAAAATTTACTAACAATTCTTAGATCTAATTCTCTAAAAACCTGAGTTTAGAGAAAAACCAACAATTCTTTCCAGTCTTAAACCTTTCCTAAAACCTAGCTTTAGTCTCTAATCTTCCTATCTTTCGATTGAAGAACATTAGCAGAAACAACATCTTTAAGATCAACATTAAGAGTGTAACGAGTAGGCATAATGTGATTGTAATTGACAACTTTGACAAAGCATTCAACCCTAGATTTCTTGGCATGCTTTTTGGCGGAGTCCTTGCGAATGACCTTAGGGTACTTGTTGATGCCGGCAACGAGGCAGTGACTGTAACGGCGGTCGCAGCTACCTTCGTCGAAGTTGCGCACAATCACGACCTTGTGTCCGGCGTAACAGCCTTGAAGGAGGAGAGAGATAGAACGGAGAGAGACTATGGAGGGAACTCCAAATTTTCCTGAGAGGGGTTTATTAGAAGTCACGTGCAACGCACATGGATAGAGTAAACTCGGAGTTCTGGGTCAATGTCGGATTATAGACTCCTGTGGTGTTTGACAACAAATTTTTAAAATTGGGTGGTTCTTGACAACAAATTTTTTTTTTTTGGTGTGTTTTTGACAAAAAAACTGTTTTTAACGGGTAAAAATCTGGCAAAATTTCCAAAAAAAAATAGTAAATTAGCAATTTTATTTTAGGCTAATGATTCACCAAGACCTCTCTTTTAAGGTAGTACTTGATAAATTTTCCTAATTATTATGAATCGGATGAATAATGAAAGTTTGCTATTATTATTGAACATAGTACATATTTTGACTTACATTTTTTACTAATACATAAATTACTTTTGCTAGCATGAAAAGTATTTTTTGAGTAGTCTTTATGCATAATTTCCTTATTTCTTCCTTACATATACAAGTACGATATAATTACAAATATTAATTGTCAAAGTTGAACATTAAAACTTGTTTCAATTAAATTGTTACAATTATTATAAAATAGAGGAAGAAATAGGTTCCTTATTTCATCACCCGTTTAAGGTTGTGTTGCTCCATTCACCTGATACCATTGCTGATGTCAATAAAGACGTTTTTGCCAATTATTTAACTTCAGTTTTTTTAGACTACGGTTAAAATTTAATAAATACTACTAACCTTTAAAAACAACACTGTAATACGTAGTATTATTGTAAACCTCTTCAGCTGGTATGTAAGCAGCCAGATCACATTTAATGACCAAAACATAGCCAAACTACTGCAGAGCCTGTATATTTATTTCAGCAACCATGATCAAAGCAGATGTCATAGACAAACAGTTGTTATGGCTTTCAAACCATAGAAACCTTAAAAAATTATGGAAGAGCCGGAAAACAATATGAATAATTCACAGGATTAGCCCACTAACATCAGATGCATATAAATGGAAACCATACATACGAATGTAACTGCAATAGCTAAACTATTGACTGAATGCAGTTAACCTACCAAAGCATAATTTCAACACCATGATAACAGAAAATGTACTGTTTCTGTTGGAATGAGACTTTACAATTAACATGTAGCTAACATTAGCAAATAGTTCGCTTCCACCTACTTAGCTCCCTTAATTACCTGTTCAATAAAAAAGGCAAGACTTGCCATGATATCAAGAGTTAGAAATAATGTGGCACAAGACAGCAGACCCTCACCAGGTGAAGGATCATATCCATGCCCCAATCGTTTGATGCGCCTGCAAATTATATCAGATCTGAAAGGGTTCTTTTAAGATAGTTTCCAGCATTTCAAATCCCATCAAGTTGAGATGCATTGCAGCTACAACAGCAAAAACGAGTCATCAAAAGATAAGAACTGCCCTACGATTTGTACAGAGATTGAGTGGGGAATGCAGCAGGATCAAGCTCCCAAAAGCCTCTTAAACTACCATCTTTCTGATCTGTGAGCCTGAAAGAAGGAATCTGATGGGAGAATCTAAGCAGTTCATATCGGGAGATCTCTCTAGTGTGAATATTCGTCTGTGGCTTGAAAACTGAGTAGAAAGGACTAACACGCTCTAAGAACAAAACTTTAATATGTGAACTATTGTCCTCTTGGACTTCCACAATGTCGTAATCACACTTCTGCAAGTCTGCAACTACCATAGAAGCATTCCAGTTCTTGTAAAGAGCCCATATCTCACCTTTTCGTGGATAGATATCATACACATTCTTTCTTACCGTTGGATCTGCACGTATTTCATGAGAAAAGGAACTATTTCCTGTATATGTTTGAACTTTGTTACTTTTAATCTTAAACTGCCCACAAGAAATTGGCATCCCCTTTACCTTCCATAGAATCATATCAGCTGGCGAAGTGCAGGCTTCCAGCCAGGCTATTTGCACCTTGAATTGTGGAAGAACATCAATTTTTTTAATGATGCCATAGTATTTTGGCAAGCCATCAGTATCACTGTACAAAGCCCAAACCTGATTTAGTTGAAACTTCTTAATGGATTTCAGGTCATCGAAGTTGTAAAATTCTGGATCTGGAATGTCTTGAGCAATAACATAAGTATTTAATTTGCTCCCATGCACCTGATTACCCTTACCATTATCACAGTAACTAGGCAATGAATTTTTAGCAGCCTTTGCACCAGGATTCACTTCTAATTTAGTGGATTCCCCAACAAAGCAAGTGTTTCCATTTGATTGAGAAAGGGTGATTTCTTCAAGGTTCAAGGTTATAGAAGCTGGGTCAAGCTCAAATGAACCCTTAGGAACATTTACCCTCTCATTACCGCTCATTCTAAACGAAGGTACCCTGTGGGAGAGCTTAAGGATCTCAGCAGGCGGTATTTGTAATTCACTTTCATCTTTTCGGCAAAACAGACAAACAAAACCCTTCAGCTTACCCAACTGTGCAACATATATCCCAACAGTTTCATCATAATCAGACAGTATTTCAACAAATTCATATTCAAACTTTCTGCCACTTTCTGGAATTAAATACCATTCAGCATCCCAATTCTTGAAAATGGCCCATGTCTCTCCTTTTTTAGGATATATCAAGACAGAATCTTTACGACCGCCTTTGTCCCAACAAACCTCATGGGAGAACATAAGACGATCTTCTGTAATTTCCGAATCACCATGTTTGAATTTACCACAAGAGATTGGCATCTCAGAATTCACCCATTGTTTTCCACACACATCATCTGGGTTAGCTTCAAGCCAAGTTATCTGCAGCTTAAAGCCAGGAGAAAAAACTTTCCTGACCTTGGCATAGAATCTAGGCATCGCATCTGTAGTATCATAAGCAGCCCAAACCTGTCCAAGTCTAAAGTACTGCTCTTCTCTAAGCGTGTCAAAATCGCTAAATTCCGGGTCTGGATATTCATGAAACGTTGGCTCAGGCGTTGTTTCAGGGCTAGACAATGTGAAGTCATCATCAGCTTCGAAGCCTTTCTTGGTTGACTCAACCCCATTTTCACTTCCATCTAACTTACTGCACTCTCCCTTGCTCTCTTTCAAAGAAGCAGAAGCAAATATCTTTGATGGGTCAGACTGTTGTCTCTTTTCTGAAGCATCTACATTTTCTTCTGTTGTGGGACAAGGTGGTCCATTGTCCTTTGCCTTTTTTGAAGGGTTCATGATATGCTCATCATCACTTGCATCTTCATTGTATGACACGTGCCGTTTGTTCCGCCTTGATCTTCTAGTGCAGCAATCACCATCACTGTCAAATTGTTGCGCCCTCAGAGAATCTGCGTCTGTTTGTGTTTCTATCTCTTCAGACTCCAGGCTACTATCTGATCCAAAACTTTCACTAGACTCTTCCTCATGCTTCTTCCCTCTCTTACTGTTTACATTCCTGGAGGGCTTACATGTCTGTTCCACATCCACTTTATTTGGACCTTTAGGTGCCTGCCTGGATTTCTGTGATCGACTTGCTTCTGCATATTTCCCAGCCAGAACCCCACCATCAGAAGCATGCTTCTCATTCACAGTCTCTGATCCCATGGCATTCGCATTAGGAATGTTTTGACCAGAAAATACAGGCTGAGTTGCATCAGATCCAGGTCGTGTACCTTGAGCAAGCATATCATAGGCAATGAAGGGCTTCTTGCAATGCTGACAACGGAGAGCTCTATTCAGAACTTCCTTGTAATACTGATAACGAACTGCACAAAAAGGACATTGGGTCCAGAAGGTCTCCTTCCCGTTGGCAGCTTCTGATTGAGGCTGCTTTTTTGGCTCTTGATGTGTAAAATTAAAATCCTTGACATGTGAATTAGAATTGCTTTTAACATTGTTTTGAGCCTTTGCTGTTTTACCAGTGTTGAGATTCCTACTTCTCTGCTGAGGAGGCTGGTTTTGTCTTACTGGTTGACAAGATGCTTTGCATTTCATGTCATAGAATGACCTTTTTTCCTTATCCAGAAGCACTCTCTGAGCCTCCCCAATCAACTTGAATGCAGCTTCAGCGCCAGAAAATTTGTTCTTGTCAGGGTGAAGAAGAAGAGCAAACTTGCGATATTGCTTCTTAATTAATGTATCATCTGCTTTCTGTTCAATTTGAAGAATGCCATACCAGTCTGATTCACTTCCAAACATTTTGCTCTCTGCTGAGCAGTGCACATCACAAACACAAATCATCTGAGCAATATTCTCCATATCAGGATAAAGCTGCTGAGCCTTTAAAGCAAACTTACGAGCCCCTGGAAAGTCTTTTGCTTCCAATTTCTTCAGAGCAATATCCTTAGCCCTCAAGGCCTCTTCTTTGTTGCACTCCATAACTGAACACAATTAAACAAAATGAGCCGAACTAATCCTTCTGGCATATATTTTCAGCGAAAATTAATTAACTGTACTACCTTAGAATCTTTGTCAAGAAAACGAGAAATGTCAACCAATATGCATGAGCTGTATGGATCTCCTCCAAGTACCTCAGCACTTCGGTTAGTTCTTGACCCTGGGTATCTACATAGAGACTTAGGACCTGCAATAAATTCAAATTGTAATATTCAATAACAGCTAGATCATGTTTCCCAGAGAGGGTACAGAAATTCTCGAAAGAGACTAATTTAGAAAGAGAAAAACCAGAGTGTAACTATGTGACTCCAACATGCTGCACAAGTAAATTATCGGATGCAAAATGCATAATAATACATTGCAAAATATTTTAACACTAAGTGCAGGCATTAACTTGCAGAAAGTCCAATGATCACTCCCTCAATATAAAGCCCTGACAAATTTGCCAATAAAAGTAAAAGGAAAGAGCAACAAGAACCAATCCCAAGATAATGAAATCAGGGAGAGCAAAAATAATGGGGGGGGGGGGGCTAAAAGCTTAGAACCCTCAAAAAAATCCATAGATACGACACATAATATTGCTTTCAGACCCTCTGCATAACTGTGCAGGTTAATATTAGTCCATTAAAACCAAACATCAATCAAGGAATTTACATCAATAGTTAGAGAGAGAGGATCAAATGTGGAACACTTCCTGGAAATATCTGTAAATGTTGGGTTTTTTAGTAACGCAATTGCTATAGAATAAAATAAATTTTTTACTTATCTACCGTTTAGTGCTTACAAACAAAGCAGCAAAACCCTGGGCATTGAAAAGGTTTCAAATTAATGACACCAACTATTATGATGCTCACCAGCTCCAGTACAATTTCTGAACCTTCTACACCAAGTATTTTTTTCATAGTTTCATCATATTTAAATTACATTCACAGTCATTTCAGATCGTATGGCCCCATACAAACACATACTTCAACCTTCCTCCAGGATTCCTATTCCTTATAATGTTCAAGAAAAAAACTGACAGGGTAATCTCGCTAATCTGCAAGGTTAATACATGACACGTCACCACCCTCTAAGGAGAAAGCATCAACGCCATCAAGTACTCTAAAATTTGAAGCGTCCAGGGCAAAATGGCTCTATAGCATCCAAAAAAAATCCACTCATTTTTCATATACGATTAAATGAACACTCATCATATCAAACATGTCAGCAAAGACATACACCGTTTTCTTTCTTCTCAGACATTTTACCTTTACTTCTTTTTCATTCGAGGGAGAGGGGAGCGGGACACTCCTTGAAAGGATTTTCCCCCTTTCCAAAATTCAAATGCAAGTTCATTTCTCTAATACCGAACACTTTACCCAACTAAGAGCAACCAGAATTGAATAAACAACTTAACTGTAACTCTAAAATTTTAAAATTTTCAGCAATATTAGAAAAATAATTCAATCAACTATATTATCAATTGACAAACGGAGAATAAGTAGAGATTCTGTAACTGTCAAATATATTATTATCAACTAAGAAGGGCTTGTTAACCTTCAAGCCAAGCCTGAATAAAAGTAAACTCGGCTAAAACACAATAGGTAGGCCGGCTTGGCTCACGAGCTTCAAAGCCCATGTTCGGCTCGGGCCTCGGCTCGTATACTCGAATTGGCTCGAAAATTGTAACAAATTTGCAACCAAATTAGGCTAAAAAAATTCATATAAAAATCCCTTCGCTTAAGAAATTCAACGAAAATTAAGCATAGTAAAATTCTAGCAACAAAATCGACCGCTCTGATATTTAATAACTTCAGTAATTTAAACCAACAGTTGAATAATCCACCTTAGAAGAACCCTAATTGACTACACTAAAAATTAAATCAACGATAGTGAGAAACTAAACCCTAGATTGTGAAATTGACATTCGATAATTACAAGAAAACATCTTACCTTAGAAACTGCTTCAATGGAGAAGAGAAAGTTCAGAAGTCGCTTCAATGGTGAACTCAGAGCGCGCTTCCAAGGAGGAGAGAGAGAGAGAAGAGTGCAGCGTAAAAAAAATCGAAAAACTCCAAAAGGGCAAATAATGTAAACATGGAGAAATTTTAATGAATCAGATGTGATATCAACCGTTAGATCTAAATATTATCCAACAGTCAAAAATCATTCTTTTTTTTTTTTTTTAAACACTTTCTCATTTTATTTATGGTTATTTCACCAAATGCTACTGAGAATTTTGAAAATTCACCAAATGTCATCGGACTTTTCATAATTCACCAAATGTCACTCACAAATAGTACAATGACATGACGTGCCATTAATGAGCTCTGGACGTTAGTTTGTCGTTACTATGAAATGAACAGTATGCCCTTATGCCCTTTGTTAGGGTTAATGGCACGTTAAACCTCATTGACTCTCTGACTTCTTCAAGTTAGATCAAAAATTCCCCTCCCTCATTGTTCTTCTCTGTTCTTCGACCTTTCACCATCATTCAAACACTGAGAATCCATAATCAAACAAGAAGCTTTGTTGAACACTTATACAAAACACTCCTAAAAATTGAATCTTTTTTTGGTGTTGAAGTTGGGCGAACAAGAACAACGGTGACGAAGTAGGGGAGGAAGTAGAAGCAAAACGCACTTGAATTTGGCTTTGGGGTGTTTGAGATAGCAAGCAAGGTAATAATCGCACTTTCGATCTTCATTACGCGTTTTGAATCTGGCATTTTTAGCGAAAATTGAGTTAGGGTTAGGGTTTTTCTGAAATTTTCATTTAAATGTGACTACTTGAATTGACATGTGTGTTTAATCTTAAATTTCATGATAATAATTGTTATTTGTTGGTATTGATTTGGCATTGTTATGGTTTGTGATTGTGAAGTGTTTCACTTCCTTTTTTTTGCAATTTTTGTATTCGTATGTTACGCTTTGGTATGTGGTTGTTGAAATGATTCATCTGTGTTGATGTTCAATATAGTAATATGTCTGTAATTTGTTATTGATAGGATGAGTAGAGTGTGGTTTGATGTCCATTACAGAGATAAGGGGTTTGATGTACTGGTTGATGATACTGACAGAACAAGTCTAATGGACTTGTATGAGTTTATGTTTGAGGACTCTGTTAAGAAAAATGTGATCCTTCCCAAATGCTTTAGTTTGTATGTTATTCCACTTAGAACTAATAGGAAGTTGGAGTTAAGTGGGGATAGGGAAATGCTGAAAATGTGGGAGTGGTTTCAAGGTAAGAAAACAATAGTAATTTACTTAGAGGAAGAACAAACTCCTAAACAAGTGTTTGTGGATGCTTTGGGTAATTGGCAAAGAAGGGTTAAGGCCATGGCTGAGAAGGCTAGGTTGGAAGATGAAAAGGCCCAGGCTGAGAGAGAGTTGGAGGAACAACAACCTTGTAAAGTTGTAGTTGAGGTTCCTGTTGCTAATGTTGATGGGGGTGATCTTCAGTATGTTAGAGTGTTTGGCACCCAAAAAGCTGATGAGGTTTTCCCTACCTCAGCCTGAACAAACTACTCAACCCTCAACTCCACCTAAAAAATCTCAACCAACTTCTCCTCTACCCCAAAACCTCAGGTCCAAAGAGAAAAATGACTCCAAAGAAAAGGAAAAAAACACCCAAAAAAAAACCCAACCCTTCCCTCAACCAGAAACAACCCCACCACCTTAACCACCCTCCCCTCAACCACAAACAACCCCACCACCTCAACCACCCTCCCCTGAACCAGAAATAGCCCCACCACCTCAACCACCCTCCCCTCAACCACAAACAGGCCCACCACCTCAACCACCCTCCCCTCAACCACAAACAGCCCCACCACCTCAACCACCAGTTTCAAATCAACCTGAATCTTCTGCAGCAGCTAGCAGTTGTAAACCTAAAAAGGAAGGCAAATCTAGACCTGAGGGATTTAGGTCCAGAAGAGTGCTGCCAAAAAGGTTACTTCTTAGGGGCAAGGTGTTACTTTAAGGAGATCAGAGAGAAATAGAGCAAGGAATAAAGCACCTGAAATAGAGGAGAGGTCTGATGAGTCTGGCAGTGATAGTGAAGATGATGATTACATACAATCTAACAGTGAGGAAGCTGAAGATAATTATGAAGCAGACATTGGTGACTTCATAGAGGAGGAGACAAAGTTAGATTGTCTCTATGATGACATTCTTGAGAAGCAGTTTTAGGATTATCTTGATGGCAGTTCAACCATGGATAAGACCTACAGGAATGGTAAAATATGGACATATCAAGAGTTTAGGGCCATAAGACTTGAGCCATGGTTGATATTTGGAGACAAGAAATCATTTATGGAAGCTTTCAAAGACTATTACATGCAAGAAGGATTTGGTGTTCATGTTGAAAAGAGTGATAAAACAAGATACATTGCAAGGTGTGCTGTAGATGGTTGCAACTGGAGAATTCATGCCTCCACCATGACAGACAAGGTCGGCTGGGCAATTAAGACTTTGACAGGGGAGCATAGAAGTTGTGGAAGGCTGGAGATTAACCCAGTTGTAACATCTGAGTGGCTGTGTAGACATTTGAAGTCAGACATTCTAGCAAATCCTAACATCCCAGTTGAGTCTTTGCAAAGACTTTGTATGGAAAGGTTTAGGATTGAAGTTAAAAAAAGGCTCTTTTACAAGGTGAAGGCAATTTTCAAGGAGAGGGTTCATGGGGGTTTTGGAGAGGCATACTCAGTATTGCCTAAGTATGCTGAAATGGTGAAGGATAGAAACCCAGGGAGTTATGCTTTGGTCACTTGGGGTGAATCAAATGCAAATGAGCCACCAAGTATCAAGGCTTGTTTTTTTTTCTTTTGCTGCCTAATGCAGGGGATTCTTGAGGGGCTGTAGACCCATAATTGGTATTGATGGAGCTCACTTAAGTGGGCATTTCAATGGAATCTTGCTCCCTGCAGTTGGGATGGATGGGAACAATGAGATTTTTCTCATTGCTTATGGAGTGGTTGGCACTGAGAGCATTGACAGCTGGGGTTATTTCTTAAGGAATTTGAAAATTCTGTTTGAGAAGGAAGGTTGCAGTAGAGATGATTAGACTTTCATCGCTGACAGAATGAAGGTAAGCCACTTTCTAAAACACTTTATATAATCTGATTTACTTGTTCATGTAGTAACAACTGTATTAACTGATGGCTTTGCTTGCAGGGTGTTGACACAGCAATTCATGACACATTTCCCAGAGCTACTAGAAGAGTGTGTTGCCAACACTTGTACATAAACTGCAAGGCCAAAGGATTTAGTGGTTCAGCCTTTTATAAGCTGTTCTGGATTGAAGCTGATGCATACAATGAGTATGTATTCAACAAAGCAATGAAGAAAATACTTGAGTACAATCCTAAGGTTGTTGAATACTTAGAGACCTGCACTAAGGTCTAGCCTAGGCATAAGTTTGATACTTCACTGTGTTATGATCTTAACACAAAAAATTTTGTAGAGTCTTTCAACTCATGCACATAACCCTACAGAGATCTACCTTTTCTGAAGTTACTTGAAGGTAACCACATCAACACAGAAGTACTTGCATTAACACATGCATGCTCTATTTTCATTACATTTTTGTGTGACTGTTATATTGCAGCTATAAGGCAGTGGGGAATGAAGAGGATTGGCTCAAGATTTGACAAAGTTATAGGCATGAGGGATATGGACCTGATTGACTATGTAGTAAAGATTCTGCAAGCAAGATCAGATGAGTATAGGCTATGCTATGCAACCCCATGTGGTGGTGATGAATTTGAGGTGAGAGACCAACATGTGCATTTTCCCATCAAGCTTAGCAGAGGCACTTGTGGATGTGGGAAGTGGCTGCATTCTAGAATCCCTTGAAAACATGTGCTAAGGGTTATTTATCACCAGAGGCTACAACCTACAGACTTTGTAGCTCCTTGTTTCAAAGGGAAGGCATACAAGCTTACTTATGCAGAGCATATGCACCCAATGCCTGACCCAAGTCAATGGCCATCAGTCAACCTGCCTGACATATTACGGTGAAAAGATCTGCAGGAAGACCAAAAAAACAAAGAAGAAGAGGGCCAAATGAAGCTAGGAGAGGGAAGAGGCATTCTACAGTTAACTGCAACTTATGTGGTGAGTTGGGGCACAACATGTTGACTTGTGCATCTAGGAAAAAAACCCATTGTAGACACCCATTTGTGTCTCCCCAAAACCAAACCCGGTGATGAGTACCTTTCACGTCGAATCATAATCGAATGAAGTGAAAGTGTGGAAGGTTTAGTGTTGCGGATAATTTTAATTTCTTTTCTTTTCTCTCTATTTTTGAAAACCTATTTTAATAAAACAGCCAATCCATTTTGTTTGGTCCATGTCAAGGGTCCAATAATGGTTTATTTGGATGGGGCTTGAAAAGAGCTTTCCAACGATATATTATAAGCCCGATTCCGATGAATAATGAGGAAGTTATGGCCAAATTACTAAACTGGGCCCGGTTTGAGCCGTATATGCGGCCCAATGATCTAGAGGAAGGCCTAATATGGATTTATCATTCCTAATGCAATTAGGATTGGTTTTAGTCTTCTAGATTCTCCTAGAATATTCTTTTCATTCCGATAAATTGACTTTTGTTGACTTTTTAGAGTTTTAATTAGAATAAAAGAGTGTTTTTAAGGAAAATACGGTTTTACCCTTCTGTACGGCTAAATTTTATCTGAATTTAGAAAACATGTGAAAAAATTAATTAGCACCTGACGACAGACATTAGCGCCTGGCGCTGATGCCTGGCGCCTGACGCTAACTTCTTTTTTCCTCGTCAAAACTCTAATTTGTTTTTTTATCCTTTTGGCTGATTTTCTTTATAAATAGCCTCCTAAAATCTCCGTTTCTTCATCACCAATTCTCATAAAATTCACAACTCTCTAATGCTCTTCTCTCTCGAAGCTAAATCTTGCTTTCTCTTTCTCTCTTTTCTAAACTAGCCTTTTCTCATACAGAATTCTGCATTCACAAGACCAAGAAACACCTACCATTGTTCGAAGTTGCCTTCTCCCTAGACATGAAAGGTTTTAATATTTCTGAGGGTTTGGTCCCAAATCTTTATTTCAATTATTTAATTTAATTGTTTGTTTATTATTTTCCTTGAACTTACTAACGCGTGTATTTTTTTATTAGAAAGAGTTACGAGGCATCCAAGTAAATGTTTTAATTTGTTTTAATTACTA